TGCGTTCCACGTTCAGCAAGGCTGGTAATAAGAGGGGGTAAGGATTCGGGCATGGGCGCGCGTTCGGAGACCCACGCGGGCAAGCCGACAAAAACAACACCTATCAGGCAAACGAACGAAGTGGCAAACAAGCACACGAAGATACAAGCCCTACGCATCTGCGCGTCGCCCAAGGCGCGGCCCATATCCTCATTTACTGCGCGCCTCGGGAACCGAGTACGGGGCAGCGCGCGTAGGGGTCCGCCGAGCAAGCGCGCAGAAGTGTACTGAGTTCCCTGTGGTGCGACATCGGGTCGACGGATGCACCGACACGGGCGGGGCGAAGCAGTCCGAGAGTTCAGAGTCCTCAAGTAGAGGCCCCGAGGCCTCAAAGGGGCCCGCCAGAAGCCCCCGAGAAGCCCCAAAAGCCCCCTCAAGATACCACAAAACGGTGGCAAGATGGGTCGACGGTCATCATTCGATGCATTTCATCCACTAATTGTCCGCTAAGTCCTAAATCCGCCACTGTGCCTCTGGCACGAAGTGGAGTGCCCCAAGGCCCATGCAGCACTGAGAGGGCTGTGCTGCTGCAAAAGCCAGAGTTGTATGTCTTGAAAGGCCCGGCTCAACCAGACAAGCCCGGCCCGGCCCGGGGTCTGCCAGAATCGCTCGCGTCAGCCTACACCGCCCAGGAGGGCCCCAAAATAAGCCCAGATGGCTCCAAGAGGCCCCCAGAATGGTCAAAGAGGGTCCCAAGACACCCCAAGATCGCTCCACGACGCGCAAGATGGCCTCAAGATGGACCGCCTCCAAGACACCACATGAGGCCTCCACGAGGGATCACAAGAGGGCCCCAAGAAGCAAAATTCAATGTTCTCTTCAGGCTTTCGAAGGATTCGGGTGTTCTCGCTTTTTCGGCTTTCCGACGCTCCAAGACGGCCCAAGAGGCATTCAACACGCATGAAGCGAAAGCGTGATTCCTGAGTGTCGAAGGCACGGCGTTCGAATAAATTGCGAAGAGTCCCAAGCGAAAGCACGATTCCTGCATAAATTGTAGGGAAGTCCCGCGCGAGAGCGCGATTCTCAAATGAATTGTAAAGAAGTATCAGGCGGGAACCATTGTTGGTGCAGCTCGGAGCCCAAAAACCCAATCTGGGCTGCAAGAGTTTCCCTTGCAAGAAACAGGGTGCGACCACGGGGGAGCACTTTGTTGAAAAACACAAAAAGGGCACGGGGTAGGGTGACCAATAATTGAGAAATGAGCATTCGGTCACAAACAACGATCATTGCTCGTTCTTAGCAGAACGCGCACCAATTGACGTATATCCCAACCCCTCGATACCCGCCCTCTTCGTCTTCGATCGCATCCCCTCTTGGAGTTATACCTCCCTTCCCGGCCATGCGTTGTTGGCGCAGCCCCTAAAACACAGGAGGGGAAGGGGGAGGGAGGGGATGGACAAGGATGGAGCGCAAGAGAAATTAGCAGGAGGGGTGTTCGGAGCAGGAGAACAAGCGGCAGCACCGGACGGGAGGGTCGGACAGATTGTAACGGGTGCGGGAGCGCAATTCCGGGGTAAATTGTAAGGAAATCCCGCGCAAGACCGCGATTTGAATAAATCGCCGAGAAATATCAGGCGGGAGCCGCTGTTGTTGTAAACTGGGACCAGGGGCGGAATCTGACGCGCAAGTCGCTCCCTTGTAAGAAACAGGGTGCAAGCCCCAGGAGCAGCACATTAAGTGAAAAGCACCAGGTGCACCGGAGGGAGGGGATCAGAAATCATTATTCTTTCGAAAAGAGAAGCCAAGCTGAATCCAGACCACAGAATCCCACTCCACCCACGAACACACGGATGGTGTAAGAACGCTGGGACCCCTCACTCTGATATATTGATGTATGTTATTCTCTCCCGTTGCTTGTATGTTACCCTACATTCCCTGTGCGCCTTGCTTCCTGAAAACTCAAAAAAGAAGGGAGAACAAGAGTGTGTGAGAGAGGGAACGCGTGTTCATCTCATCTTTCTGCCCTCTCAAAACGACTCATCCCCATCCTCCTTCATCCTTCCTCCTCCTTCCTCGTCCTCATCCTCCACGCAGCAGGAAGCCTTACTAAGAACTCTCCACGAACACAATCCTCGAATACGAAGCCTCACGACAAGAATCATCACCAACAAATGCGAAAAAAACGCTTCCTACAGGAATCCTGGATACGGAACCATTTCTCAAAGGACCATCCCAAAAAGTGCATTTTGAATTTCTGCAATCGACTTTGGACCAATATCTAAACCCATACTCAAACAATAACTCAATTGGGTCTTTACCAAACGGTTCTACAACTACATGAATCCGTACTGGACGGCTCCTCTGGTAATCATGGGAAGCCATGTCTAAGGGAATATTTGCACAAGACACCCCGGCCCAGGAACCCGTATGGAAGGAATGCTTAACGAAAGAATCCTCAAAATAAGCCGGTATTGAAAGTAGACTCACCCAAACAATCGCACTAAAGGACTCTGCACTAAAGACCCAACTACGAATAGAATCACCCATGCAAACCCCTGCTGGAGGAACCATCACTGACGTAATCATTACTGGAAGGACTCCATACTAAAGGATTAGTCATTAAACGAGTCCTTGCTGCAAGAAGAGCTCCCACAAGAATGCGAAAGGCATCCTTACTAAAGGCATCATTACTAAACGAATCATTACTACTGAAACCGTGACAAAGGGACACCACACAAGGAAATCATACCAGGGACCGACAGGCATCTTCACCAAAAAATGGTGAACAAACCTTTAACTTAAAGATTCAATTCCTTAACGAAGGAACCGTTTTGATCAAAGAATCCAAACGTAAAGTAATCCGAACTAAATGGGAACCGAATTGACTTAACAACGTGAACAAATATCTACACCCCGAACAACAAGACCACACCCTCACGGACAAGCATACAGAAAACGTGTTGGGACCACGAAGCCTGCGAGGAACAAGAAAAACAAACATCGACTCGGTTGACATACATATATATATACATATATATACATATAGCAGCACATATATATATATGCGCATGTGTGTGCATATGTATATATATGTGTGTGTGCCTACATATATATATATATATATATATGCATATATAGATACGCCTGCATGCATGCATGCCTCTATACATACACAAGCCTACATACACATACAT